TTTCATAGCCATTCGTCTTTTAGATGCTTGAGAACAGCGGGAGAAAATTTTTCTTTACCAGTGGAAATAATAGGACCAATCTGCAGTTGGACTTCAGTGGGTAGGTTTCCGGTGACCCAGTTATTTTTTTAGTATTTGAACCTGAACGACATAAGATCGGTTACAGATTGGAGGCCTAACTTAGCCTCCAGTTAACTTTTCCGTGGGATTTTGTAGCTCAGTTTAGATCCTACGGAGTCTATCGAACAGTGGCGGCTCGTGATATTTAGCGCTAGTGGTTCGTCTATGGAGAGGGAATAGGCAGTGCTCTCCCCTGCCTACTCCCTCTCCATAGACGAACCACTACACCTAGAAAAAAGGGAGCGATTTTTCTAGCGTTTGGGGAGTAAAAAGTGAGCACACCGTGAGCTTTTCTAATTTACTCTCTCTTATTACTCACCATATGCTCCCTCACCGCTCGTATTGAAGTGAACACCTTGAAGTTCTTCGCCAGGCCACTAGATGGAGGTATGGGTCTCACTTTTCGCACAGTACACAAAAGTTCCCTTCCCTCTTTCCCTGGAATCGTCCCTCGCAGGAGTGTTTTGTACCTCTACATATGTCTCGCCTATTCTCATTATAGGAATCAATAAACACGAACTTTCCATCATTTGTTATCCACATAATCAAGACAGATTCATAGAGTCCAGGCCATAAACAAGCTCATATTCCTATTGAGAACCCTTTTGGAACGCGTATGGTTTTATCCGCATAAGAGATTTAGGATATACACGGAGTGTCCGTGAACTTCATTTAATCATACCTCAATTATATGTGGTAGAAAGGGACTGATATCGCGGACACTCCACGGAACCTATAAGAGGTGGTCCATCCTCTGAACTGTGCTGTAAACAGTTCAGTCAGAGGTATGTCAACGCCTGTACGAGAGCGAAAGCGACACACAGTATATATTAGAATTTTCGTACTTGCATGACTTCCCTATCACTTTCTGATGGGAGCGTTTTTACTCACGGAGGAGAACAATTTTACTTCTTGGTTACTTGGCGAGTAAATTCGCTCCTTTCCCAGAGTGAAAGGGGGGTGAAACTGGAGTTAGATTTTACTCTCTTTTTTGAGAAAAATCGCTCCCTTTTTTCTAGGTGTAGTGGTTCGTCTATGGAGAGGGAGTAGGCAGGGGAGAGCACTGCCTATTCCCTCTCCATAGACGAACCACTAGCGCTAAATATCACGAGCCGCCACTGGAATCGAAGCTTATGTTGGGTTAGGAAGCCTAACCTTCGCACTTCTCACCAGATATATTGTAATTCTGCTCAGTGACTCTCACCCACCAGTCTCACTGAACATGAACTCTCCAGGTTTGCAAGTCAGTCTTGCGTCAGGGCTCCGTAATGGCTGTTCACTTGGATAGCGCACACATCAGAACACTTGATGGGTTTTTGCTTTGTATTCTGCTGCCCCATCCGATGTTGCATTTCAACTTAAACGTCGAGAGAACTTCACATGATAGGACGAGAAGCTGCTTCTGATCATGATGGATACATTCATTAGTGAAATTGAAACAAAAACTACGCTTTCTTGAAAATATAAAAAAATGTCTTAGGTACATGCTTGGAGTGCTACGGCATTCCTTTCAGCATCCAGGCGTCAACAAGTCGAGAAACTAGCAGCACACTAAATCTCTGGAACTGAACAAGGGACTGAACAAGGGTGTGCGGAGAGAAAGCTCAGCATTTAAAGATAATAGACTGACAGACGACATGGCAGAGGGCCTCTGAGATAAAGTTAGACGATATAACACAGACCGTCTGTGAGTTGCTGTGAATCAGTCTGATCCTATGGAAAAAGATCTGAATTTCCCCCTCCCCAATTTTTTTTAGAGCGGACGAAAACATAGGTTATACATGTACTTCGAAGTTTAATTTTTTGGAACTACATGTAATTTAAAGATGATGTGATTTTCATTTGCCAAATAATTTCGAAACTGGCCGTCATTGACGTACACTTTCTGACCACTATTTCAGTTTCAAGAGTGGTCAACATTTCTGAACCCCTCTTTAGAGCGAAGGGGAATGACGACTCAAAAGGCGCGAGGTTTTAACATTATGGAGGCATCCCTAGCATATGCTGCATCCAAGGTTATCATGAGTAATATCAAAACACACCAAGGAAATGGAAATTGGACATTTGTACAATCTTTGTTGTTCATCTCGTATAGATGCGCTCAATCAGGCGCAGTTCCTTATACGCTGTTGTCCATCATCATCCTCATATTTATCTGGGACCATTAGGCATTCTTAGAAAGGATGTTTTCCAACAATTACGAAAAGACGCCACTACGCAGCGCATGCATATTTTCCTCCTTTAATAGGTTTCCCAAAATGAAAGGATTAACTTGGGACCCGACATGTGAGGTTTATGTGATCCCCAATTCATTCCTTGGAGTATAACTTTCCTTTAGCTTACAATTCATTAAACCACAGGATAAGTTAAGCTCTAAATTTAATCCCGAACGAACATGACCTAGACCTCCAATTTGTCATCCCCGACCCCGGAGTATCCGCCTCATCCATTACGTGAACATACAGAGGCATTGCAGGTTACCTTGTAGACTATAACTCCATCAGCCGGTAATCCTGAAAGTAAGATTGGTCCCCTGTAACGTCCATTTTGGTCTCTCCTTCGAAAATAAATTTTCATCTGGTTGAGCACCTGCCTTGGGTACTTTGGGTACTTGTCTGAGACAGTTGCTCCTCAAGTCTCCATCAAGTTGGATAATTTGAAAAACTGCCTTAAGCCATGGACTCTACGATCTGACAAAAATAGAAAAGTCGGACTCTGCGGGACTTTACCTATTAACAGGTAGAAAAGTTAATTTCCTGCTATTCAAGTGCCGGCTGCCTGTGATTTATCACGGTTGTGGCAGACAGGAAATGGTTTGATAAATGCAGGACAATAGGCATGATTAGAGAATCGCAATGCCTAGCGATATAATGGGAGGAGCACTTGGTATTGCATTCTGGCATGACAAAGCCATTACATTTTGGCATTATTTCTCCATCTTTTTTAGTCATTTTCTGAAGTGAAGACTATTCGCCACGTGAGGATATATGATGGGTTCTCCCATTGAAACTCAAATTATTATTTCATTGCAACGAAAAGTTGCCGACTTAGGAAGATTCTTCGGCAATCCAATGTACTAGGGAGGGTCAAGTGAAACCCGGACAAAAAATTGTCTCACCCTATTCTATCAACCTTGTTTCAAATTATTTCCTCTAAGCAAGTAGACTTCCACGTACATGTGTAATACATGGAATAAGATATGTGCATTTTATATCACGTATGGTAGCAGCACTTTCAGCAAAATGGCGTTCTGAATCGAAAGTGCGTCCGAAGAAATTCAACGCGGAGCGGTATCTAAACGCCAAATAACCGAAAGCGGCATAATCGAATATTTGAAGTGTCGATGAATCAAACGGAGGACGCTCGAAATACCGAATAAATTGGACGAACTCATATTTCGTCAAAGAAAATTTTTTTTCGTCGAAGGATCACAATGCAGGAAAAAAAAATTAAATTTGTGTCAACGAAGGGGTTCTCTGCTTGCTTTAGGCTACTTAGAATAGTGTCAACATTGGAATCATACGCTTCATAGCACAGTCCTAGAAGAAAATGAATTCGTCATATCTGGGATTCCAATACAGCGATACTCAGGCACGTGAGAAATTTGAGGAATTCTCATTTTTTGTCAATCTTTGATTTACCCCCCCCCCCTTGAGCGTCGTTCGTATCCAACTTGGGAAAATAAAATGCTCTCTTGTCTGTGGTTTTTAGAGGAGCAGTAATAAGAAGGCATAGAAATGCGTGCTTTCCGAATAATGACGATGCACGATATACAGGGTGTGATGAAACCTTAGACCCAGGTACGATTCAAACGTGCAACACACAGTCGTGCTACTTCAGCTAATAACCAGAGTACAGCTGAGCGGGAGCATGCAGCCTGACAGCCAAAATGAAGAAAACAAAACCTGTATTTTTTCGCCCTTGTAAGCTTGAGGTGACACGAACTTTTCGCTTCTCAGACACTTCTATGAGAATCCTTCGATGAATGGCCGCGTTCGCTTAACAGTCATTCGACGTAATGTCCATCCGTCGGAATATATTTCGATAATTCCAAACCAACCCGCAGTTGTTGACGGCTGTAGGCTCCCTTCCCCCCCCCCCCCCTCACCCCTCCGCGCGAATTTGAATTTCTTTGGACGCGCTTTCGATGTGGAGCGTCGTTTTGCTGAAAGTGCTGTCACCATAAATGATGTAAATGTATTTATCGTATTTCAAGTATTACACCACGTGTACGTGAAGGCCTACGTGCTTGGAGGAGATAATTCGAATTAAGGTCCGTGGAACAAGGTTAAAAAACATTCTGTCCTTCTGTCCGAGTTTTATTTGACCCTCCTTTGTATATGTATGTGAATAACTAAAGTATCTGTATCAGAGGAAGTGAAGCTCGCTTGTTTCCTTGGAACACACCAAATCAGGATAATGGATCGGAATAGCAATCCGATTTTTGATTCCATCAATATCCATAAATAGGAATATAAATTAACAGAAGTGACTAGAAAGAACACTGAGCATGGCATTCACCCTGTTCCGGAAAAAAAAGAAGAGCGAATCGACTGGCGGCTATTGCACAGCAGGTACGGTGGGTTATGATCCCACACGATGTTCGCACAATAATCACCGGTCCTTCTCCTCTGGATTAATGCCAATGATTTGGTTCACGATTCACTGAGTAGGGCATTTGTCACCTCTGAGATGGAGAGTATGGGGCTCGTCCGGCAATCACCTCGGATGACCTGCCAAAAATATCCTTTCATTTGGTTGCTGACGTGCACGATCAAGAAAAAATAAAAACCAGAATATAAAAAAATGCATGCAAAAAAGGAATGACGATATTAAATGATGACACTGGATCGGCGGCAACTGAGGAGAACGTCTAAAACTCACAGCGGCTGTGAATGATACGAAGCAAGAGTGCTGGAGGTACAAGGAGTGGCTACCTCAACCCTGGGAACTCTTCCTTCCGGACTAGATGGAGACGGAGAAGACGGTGTGGACTTGGGTGGTTTCCCCCATTTGCATGGATCTCCTCCTGCTGGATTCATCGCAGACAAACTTTTGATTGGATCTGTGTTGGGTGTAGGAGAATCAGCAACTACGACGTATTTCCTCTCCTCTTGATCTACTTTTTGCATGTTATTAGTTGAAACGGTCGTCGGAGTGTTGGACATTGTGGTTGCCGTCGTCGTCGTGACGCTATTGGGAAGATTCGTGCTTCCCCACATTAGCACCGTTTGTCGGGTATCGTTGGTCGCATATGTGCCCTGGGAGACGACAGAAGACAGCTCGTGCTTCACTTCTCTCTCCGCATTTTTAGAGTCTCGAATGTACGAGGCAATGGACTGGAGAGGAAAGGAGGAATTTCTCGGTTCTGCGTATGCATCACAGTACGTTTTCCCTCCCATGTCCAACTGGCATCCATAGTACTTGTTTGGTTCTGTGGCAGTCTTCATGGCGAGTTGACTTTCATAGCCAGTGATGCAGGGTCTCGTCGACATATCCAAGAACCCATTTCCATGCATGTATGCTGAAGGATGTGCATAATCTGTGTAATATGATGCCCCGGCAGCAAGGTGTCGATATTGGAAGAGATTATCAGTAGACAGAAGCCGATTGTCAATGTTCGGGTAGAAGTTTTGGAAGTTCTGCTGCACATACAGACCATTTTCGGTTGGGCAAGGATAGGAGTACATGTTGTTGTAAGTGGGAGTGGCTGCGATGTAGTCCTCTGCAGGAGATCGTCGTTTGGTACGGCAAGATGAGAGGAAGTCCCTCAACTGCGCTTTGTATCTTCGATTCATTCGGGGTCCGGATGAAGGACTCATATTTAACTCCGAGTCCGATGTGTACGATGTGCTTGTAAAAGCAGAGTCCAAATAACTGATTTTGAAATCCATGGTTCTTTTCCCAAGTAAATCTCTACCCTCTTCCTCCCTGAAACCAAGCAGATAGAAACATCAGTGCTGACATCGGATGTCAGTTCGATGGTTAAAAACTTAACACTTAAAAGGCACTTTCTGCAACGCATTGTCAATTATACTACAGTACAGTCAATTATAATGATGATTTTAGTTACTCGACACCAAGAAGTTCATTACAAACATATGATTGAAACATGAATTGGCACTTTTATTCCATTTTGCGTATATGTTTTCACTTAAAATTGAGAAGTTGGACGCCTAACGCAAATGTGCAAAATTGTTTCACATCGCCATAAATGGCAGGCAACTGGCACGTCTGGCATCGATCAGCAACTGGACATAAACTTTGGCGTACAACTCTTTGGAGACCGCACGAGACTGTTCTGTGACTGACAGCTTCAACGCATCAATTATTGTTGGGTTACGCACATAATCATTGTCTTTCACAAAGCCCCAGAATAATAAATTCATGAAATTCAGTCAGGAAACCTAACTGACCAGTCAATGGTTCAACGAAGCCGAGCTATTGAATTACTTGGTTAAAAGAGACCATTAAGGGTCAGGTCTTAACCGTTTAATGTGCTGCACAATACATACACCCAGGCGAATCTCCCACTACATGGATGCAAAGGAAGAACGAGCCCTTTCCTTAATCCCCCTGTGATGCTACATTTCCGCGCAAGGGTAGGCCTATATGTCTGCTCCAGTTATTTACAGCAGACTGCTTGGAGAACGACATACTCACACAAACTGACATCAACTAGGTTACTTGAAACTAGCGTAACTTGCGCATGTATTCCCTTGTTCTTTTGGTTGGAGTTAAAAAAATACAATTGACTCCGCATAATGGAATACTCACGGGACCAGCAAACTTTATTCTATAATCCGGAGTATTCCAATAACCGAAACTATCTGGCGTATCGTACCGTAATCTGGACCGTGCCATGGCATTCCATTAAGCGGAGTATTTAATTGAGCGGTATTTCATTATGTGTCGACTGTGCCAAGCACCACGTTATCAAGCGCTTAAGGATCTATGAATGCTTCGATGAGATCTCCACTCAACCTTCTCTCTTGACAATGAAGTCCCAGCACGTCTAAACCAACTCACTTGAAAGTCTACGTACCTCGCCTATCATTATCGTCGCTCTCCTTTGTGCCCTCTCCAGCGCCGTAATACCGCCATTATTTGTCTGCTTATTTTGAGCACAATGCTCTCAATAAGGAGAATGCAAATAGCTTTCTGCATGTCTGAAGCACTGACAGCAAAAAGCAGAAAAATTTAATCGAAATCTCACATGAGGGGCCGATGGGTGCTGATGACGAAATCGGGTTTGCTGTTCTTGTAGACCAGTCTGGAAGAAGTCTGCAACCATTGCCACGATGCATCCTTCTTTTGAATGCGGTAACAAATCATCCCTGATGCTCCCGTCTTCAGCACTGCATAGTTTGCCAATACATTAAACCTCAATCTCGACTAATTTGTCATCCCCGGTGGGAATCATACAGGAATTGTAACATGTCAACTTACATTCTTGGTGTGCATTTGCAACGTATGCCAGATCGTCATAGTGGACGAGGTCATATCCCCCTCTACTGTTCAAGTCGTCGTCTCCATAACCCAACAAGGTCTTCCCCCTGACGGTAGGAGAAAATCATTTATATAACATTTAAAAAAAAAAGTACAGTATATGACAAAATGTGAATCCTCCACGACTGCGGTTCACGAATGCCCGATGAATGAGCCAGAGGCGAAGATGTCTGTTCCATTGACGGAGGAAGTCTCTGAATCATTGTTTTGCTTCAATCAGCCAACGCCTGATTGAAGCGTGGCCAGACAAACTGACAGTGACAGTACGGGTGTCCATGACGTTTTAGTGTGGTCTGGGCAATTAGTGGTCCTGCAGTTGCGAAAGATATTTTCTTACAGTATTCCCTTATAGTCAGGTCCCAAGTGGCACAGTAACTTGGACAAGATGCTATGCTATTTGGGATCAGAGTACCCAATTTTGGTTAAATTTTGAGAACATCTTAACCACCCATTGCGATTGGCTCAGATGGTTTGAATAAAAGTGCGAGGAATCGGATACATCCAAAAAGAGTTACATTGACTGCACGAAGGACAAGAGCCTTGGAGACTGCGTACAGTACATTTGAATTAGTCATATTGTTAAATTGAACTATAGAAGAGAATGTGGATGCACGGACTGAGACGCTTCAAATTCCATGACAGGAATGTGAAATTGAATCATTGAGCATCGACATCACTCCCATTCGCATTAACTGAATTGCATCTTTTGTGAAATTGAAGGTAGATAATGAGGATATGTTAAGGCCATGGAAAGAAAATATGAAAAATAATTTTTTTTTCTTTCATCGATTGATCGTAGGAGCGATCCATTGCTTCTTCTTTATGCCTCCGCTTAGTCAGGCAAATAAACTTCCCGACTACCGCTACTTGGATTGCAAGTGATAATGTATATTTGATAGCATCCAGTATTGCACTTGTGCTAACGCCTGTGTTGCAGTCTGTAGACGTCAGTTCTACTGCAAGCACTTCTTTGGAATCACGCTGGCCAGGCACTTTCGAGAAGCAATCCTATCTCAGCATGTCATTTCATTCCTACACAACTCAAAGAATGTTCTAGATGTCAAGCAGGTGACATTCCTTAATAAGCCCCATGCTATAAGGCTCATGCTACACGACAACTGCTCCACGCCAATGAAGTTGACTTCTGTGATAATAATGAATGACCATACGATTCCCCATATTGAATGCGTGTGAACAGATGGAGCTATCCCCAAGGATAGGGCGGAAGTTCTGATGCTGCAGGACTCAATGCACCATCGGTTTTCACAGCAAAAAATGGAGCATCCAATTGAAAGTGTCCTGGAAACTCTAAAAAATAGAGTGAATTTTTCTGTTTCCTCCTAATATTCCAGAAATATTTGGTGCAGTTTGAAATGTTGATGTTGACCACATAAGGTTCTAAATTGTTATATCCACATCCATCCCAATCGTTAAATCCACATAAGGTTATAAATGTATCCAGAACAGAATAAAGTGTTTTTAGTGTTCAAGTAAAACTGACTCCATTAGAGATGACGAAGGAGGCCTGGATAGCGGCTTTGACGGAAAAAGAGGCTCGAAAGATTGAGGAATTCCCGTGCTTACGTTAACAACAGTGAATCTCATTCGAGCCTAAATTACTAATTTCAGTTACTGTCCCCTCCTCCAGACTGTCCGCTCATGGCGTTGAGCTGACTTTATATAGTTAATATAATTAGCGAAAATACCTTTGGTCCATAGAGACAAGCGCCATGTCCAATTTGTGCTTGGTCTTGAACATGACATCCTTTTGCGGTACATCGAGGAGAGACGGAGGCCCAAACGGAGTACACAAGGCAAACAAAGCCAAGGGTGGCTCCTCTGACTTTCTGTTCTGGCCATGCAGGATTTTGATTCTCCCTCTGATATCCAATCTCTGTGAGAAACATGGAAGAACCCCTTTCATTTCCTCCGAGCTCTTCAAAGATGGAAAAGATAAAGAAGCTTACCATTCGGAAATTTTTTTCTTATAAACGCTTTAGAGAGCAAAAACTCCTGTATGATTCCGAACAATTACATAAGCCTTATTGATATCTTCTTTATACAGGTACATGTGTACATATGAATTCAAAGTTGGGCCATGATCCAATGTGACTTGTATGGATAAGTTCTTACTATCTATGTAGCCGATTTTGAAGTATCCCCCGTGGAGTAGTTCTTTGGACTCTACCAAAGCTTTAATTTTTTCTGTTCTCCCACTCTTCTCAATTAAATAGCTCAAATGATATCAGAACTGCCTGGCAATCATCCAGTTCATCAATCTTCTACTTGTTCATCTTGCTTTCCCTAGACGCGAAATACCAATTGAAAATTGTGCACCAATGTTCCAATATACCGATTGGGAAGTCATTTTGGATCGATTGCTCTGCTGGATACTCTGGCCCCCATTCACGTTACTCTCCTGGTTTAGGGATCTCTTTCCAGTTAGGATACTCCGAGTCAAGGGCCTCCTTAAAAATGATATTCTCAATGATTTCGTAGGAACCCTCTACTGGGGATTCTGAGAGAGTCAAGGGACTTCCAACAGATATGGAATGGAGAATGAAAAACATGCACAACACTGCAAGCATGATCTTTTTTTTTTATAGGCCTGCAGCTCTGACGGAACAAACATATGGCGTTCAAACAAGGTCGTTAAACAAGGGAGCATGAAGGTGGACATCAGAACTTAAATCATTGTTTTTCTCCACAGAAGTCTTCTTATGGTGAAACTGCATCTCTATGACTTAGGGTGGATTTTTGAACAGAGCACTATCCGATAATGCAGCTTTATTTACCGGATTTATAATGCATTTTCTCAGAAATAAAGCTGCATTATCGGATAATGCTCTGTTAAAAATCCACCCTAATTCTTTTAGGCTTCTCTCACTGACTATCGGGAAGTTCCAGTTGTTATACAATTCATACAATTCGGTAGCTGTGTCACAGATCAAGCTAATGTTTCTAGAGCATTTACGGAAACTGAAGGAAGCATCCCTGACACATCTCACACGACAAACATCCCACATTAAAAAGCAGAAGAAAGGGAATACATTCGCCATTTCCTTGCTGCTAGGGCCTTGCTCTACAAAAAATGCACTGATTTGCAGAGGCCATTATTACATCGATGGTCTGCGACTTTGCTGAAAGAAAATCCGTGCTAAGGATCCCAAAGCCATGCCGCTAGCTACAATGTAAACTCAACTTTGCAAGGACCAGAATTATCGAACATCTACTTGGGCTTGCACAATTCATGATCATTACTAAAGATAAACATGCTGATTATTTCCATTTTGATAGGCCCCCAGACATCTCCAGGAGGAGGTTGGAGATTTGGAGGAATTATGCTGGAACGACTAAGTGCTCAAGTTATCATATTTGCTTTTCTTTTAGAGATGGGAGCAATCACTCATTATATAACCAGGCAATTAACTTCTTTAGAATCATTTTAAGAAGATGGACAATCTCCATGAGATATCGCATGAGTTCGACATTATTATCCGATTGTAATATTGAATACATGTCATTCAGTTCCAACAAGATGCCATTGCTGAATGATAGCTGAAAAAACAGATGTTTCGAAAATATATCGGTCTTATGGATGCAACGTTAACGTCAAAGCTATGCAATTGCATGCCAATTGGCACGTGTTTGTGACATGTTTACTGACCACACACTTCTGAGTGTGATTGCTTCCAGATCCCAAAACTTGCCCTACAACGCTCTCTTCCTGCACACGGAACTCTTTTTGGTGGGAAAAGGCAGAGAGTTTTGCCTGTAGAAAACGAGCACTATGGTGTTGATTTTGCGAGCTGAAGTTCAGCCACACTCAAAAGTCCGTGACCAGCAAACATCATGAGCATGTTTCCGGTGGCATCCATTTGCACACATTTGGTACTGAATTTACACCACTGTGGTAAATATATTAGCGAATTTGATTTTCTATGAGATGATGTGCCCAACGTCAAATGATCCCTTATAGACCGTATGGAAGGATGATTAAATGTCAAATTTCACGTCATGCTTGAAGTTTTTCCGTAGTTCTGCATTAAGGTCAGTTTAATTCCTTGGAAGAAAATACAAGTACCTTTCTTGTGAAAAGTTGGATTTGTAAATATGGAGGTGAAAAACTGGTTTGAAAAAGCAACGAACGATCTTTATGCCTGCCGATGAGGCATTTGGGTAAATATGTGAAATGCACTCACGAGAAATCCAGATGTGTTATCGAGTAGACAACGAAATCGAACTGTGAAACTCCTCTCCAGAAGGTGCACATGATCTGGTTGAAGAACTTCGTGAAGCCGGAGATTTGAAGCCTCTGGAGGTAAGAACGACGACCACGTCAGTTGTCTCTGAAGCTCCTCTCGGTCTTCAGAATGCACCAACTCGTACACGGATTGATGGACAATGTCAGACTGCAAGAAAGCGATGTATACGCAATTTTAGAGTGCATGCCCTCTCTAATGGTTCATTTCTTCTTCCTTATGCCTCAATTGGTAAATACAGTATTTCAAGGTTCGATGCTTTAATCGGGACGCCTAGATATATTTCTACCAACAGTGACATCCCGAGTAGAGATCAAGCCCTTATCCCAACCCTTCTGCGCCATCGGAGATAGGCCTATTCATCAAAATAAAAATATTTTTGATGAGAGCTTGTCAATCGACTGCCTAGCTACGTACACATAGCTCCATTTTAGCTGTACGTAGCTGGGCAGGAGATTAAGAGACTCCCTCTAAAAACATATATCTTCAAAGGGATAAACCTATCACAGATTCGAGGAGAGGTCAGAATGAGGGCTCGACTACGTATAAGGTTACTTCAAATTTTCCCTGATGCACTTTATACTTAAATATGTAAAGATAGTGGGATGGATTGCCTCATTGTAGAAATTTGCAGTTTTGTGACATGAACATTTGTAAAAAGAAGCTCAAATTATAACCTAAGGAAATTTGTAGCGCCAATGCTGTTTGTCAATTATGCCTTAACTAAGGAAAATTCCAAGCGTCTTTTACATTGGTCATATTCAGATTACGAAACTAGATTTGTTGGCTTTGAGGCGATTTATGTCAGCAACTGTACGTCTATAGACGAACCGGAAAGGTCTATAATTAGGGAGTTAAGAGGGACAAGTGCAGAGCAGTGTTTTTGCCGATAACGGTAACAAAAACAATAGTAAAACGAGCAGCTAGCGAAGGAAATCTGTTCGAATTCGCTGAAGGAAACTAAAACAAAGATGAAACTATAAAAAGACGATAACGATCACTGATAAATGGCAATCTTGATAATAATAACTCATTAAAAAATAGCGAACATTTAAAATCAAATTTTACATTTTCTTCTAACTCTCAATGTCGTCGAGTGTGCCAAAAAGAACGAGATTTTCGATTATGCGATTTTGGATGAAGAAACCAGGCTAATGCAGAACTGATTTAACGAGCAGCAAGCATGCTCTTGAAATCGAGAGTCTTTTGCCCTGGGTCTAAACACAGAATAATTATGTGTAGCCGAAGAAAATGAGAAAGTATGAGAGGAAGAGAAACTGAGAAATCACCCGTTGCTATTCAACCCACTATTCAATATGGGAGAACTCTCAGGGATTTTTATTCCTTGAGAGAAACATTTTATAGAGAACATTTCTTGAGAGTAAACATTATAAGGATCAGTCTGTTAGAAATCACAAGTAAAAAAAAAAAAGAAACAATAAACAGCAATGGAATGATGCAGAGTTGAGTCCAATAAAATGGCATGATACCGAGCATACGGATGCACGAGCAGCTTGAGCTAATGATTCATTTTCTAGGTCTCGTCCAGCCCTGCGTCAATATCATGTCTTTTTTATGACAAAAAATAAATACAACTAAGTTTTCTTTCTTTCGAAGATAGAATTGTACTCTCTTATTACTTCATGTGTGGTCATTCTTATTTCATTTTTGAGGGCCTTCCTAGAAGCCAAGGTGGGTGGCAGTCATGGTTTTACTCTTCCCCACATCTGCTTGCAGCAGCTGGTGTTCTCATTTTGAGCTATTTTAAGGCAAGTTTAATGAAGACAAGCCCCAATCAAGACCATGAAAATAGATTTTCAGACTTTCATGATCTTTCCCTAATCATCGAACCATGGTTGATATCAAAACAAAAGTTCTCTCAAAATTAGATCGCAAACAAGTGACATGGCACATTCATTCAACATGACATCAACTCACCTGATGGAAACCCAAGTAGTTCTCAATACTGTGGGTAGCAAAGAAGACTTCCCCATCACAATCCAAGATGAATAGGAATCCATTCAGAGCCTGTGGGGAGAAAGTGAGGAAGAACCATTTGGTCGTTGGTATATTACTTTTTGTCCACGAGTACTTGAAATTCCGAAAGTCATCCCCCAAAGATGCAGCAAGTCCTCAGGCAACTTTCACATTGCCATAAAATTGGAGGTTTTGACTCTAAGGCACTATTTGGTATTTAAAAAAATACGCATTTTAAGCTAATATTTTGTTGATCCGAGGGCGACAAGTTGTGATTGACTAGATTTTTTTTCCACTTCTCTTTTCCTTAAAGAAACTCAACTAGTTGTAACTGATCTTTGACAATTTTGCATTTCTCTGTTTTTCTTATTAGGCATTCTCTTACAGTATCAATGCAAGGTAGCGAATATTCCCTTCTTCAACTGTCCCTGTCTCAAAAGGTCGTTGTCTCGACTTCCTCTCTGAGAGAATTTGGAGGACTGAAATTGAAAGTGGCCCATTCTTCGTGAACACAGAATCACTCCAGTATATTTGAAGTTCCTTCTTTTGGGGCGCAGAGAAAACAGGATCTCACTGTGTAGTTTTTTCACCCCTCTCCTCCCTAAGTGGCCATACTTGGGAGTTTACGGAGAAGATACCATCACCAAAAAAATGAGCTTGTAGACTGAGACGGGAGTCCTTTTCGTTGTTAGCGATTCACCTTTTCGAATGGCATGAGGTTAGACTGAAGCAGTGGCTATTTTTGACTGATAAATTTGCCCTTTCGTGGTCGTCCATGGACATCCCAGGCGGACATGACTTCCAACGTTCGTTTGAACTTCAGAAGCAGTGATCGAGGCATCTGTCTACAGACGACCTCATCGCGATAATTCGAGAAACTTGAGATATTAGCTTGACCGATAGCTTGAGGCTGGCCGGGTAAAATATGCCTATGGGTATCAGTCGTCGAAATTGGTCCAGTAGTTTTGCTCTGGAAGAGCCCCTGATCTTTTCAATGGCAAATATCTCTCAGCACTTTACATAACCGCTCTGTCTTGAGCGAATCTAAGGTTTCGCTTGTTCCGATGGTTTCATTGCCTCACTGGTCGTCGTTTTCAGTACTGTCAGTTCCAAAATCTCCATACTTAAGCCCAATTATTCAATTTAGAATCTTTACCTTCGTAGTTTTTTTTTTTAGATGAACGTTCTAAAATATTACATTTAGAGCCATGAAGTCTTGAACCTTAAAGTATATTGTTAGAGGTTGGCACTCATGCAAGTCACATTGGATGCTCCTGCCATCTGTAGAGAGAATTTCCAACTAAGCGTTCAAAATAAACTTCCAATACATGGCTGTTGTTCAAATGACTGGATTGTTTATTTTCCTCCTAGAAAATCAATAAACGACTACTCGTACAAGTTAACGTATAACTTCTGCAGTGAAAGGCCATATTAACGTCTTGGATAATTTATTTAATGAAGGCAAATTACCTGCTTTAAAATTGTAGGAAGTCCTAGAAAGTGAGGCTAGAAATTCGGCCGCTCGACACATTTTGAGTGAATGCAGTGTACCAAATGTGGAGTTTCTAACTTTCTAACCGAGCAAAAATATATTGGATATGTTAATGGGAATTCATGAGTAAAAGCGATTTGCCATGGTCTGAAATCTGAAAATCCGAGTCCGCCAAGCCAATACCTCACCCGATACAGCTGAAATTTGTATCCAATCAGGTCACGGTCAATACCGTAAACCACGCACACTAACATCAGTTCTTGATCCATGTGCTTAACAAATTCCCCTAGCCACGCTGACGCGTTCTTGCGGAAAGAAACAGAAAATTGAAGCTTTCAAAATCGGGTAGAGATGTTTTCTCTCGATTGGGAGCTTTCCGGATTGCCTGAGGGGACAACCGGCCAAGGAATGTGAAAAGTAACCACACCGGGGGAAAAGATGGGCTGATTGGATTTGAGAACTGTCGCTGCTGCAATCGCCACCGCTGTGCAGATGGTCTTCACGCCCGATCAAGCCAACACTCACTTTCAGCGATAAAGAATGTGGAACTCGAGAGTTGAGGCGATTATTTATTTATTATAAATATGCAAATGAAATGATCATACGTGAGTTAATACAGAGCTGGATGCACGCCAGCAGTTACCATGAAACGATCACGATCGGCGCGATAATTATTTTTGTTTTATAAGTATTCTAGTTTGGTGAATTTACTCGAAATTACGTATAATATTTTGACGTTAACCTCGAAGCAATTCCACAGTCCGTACTTCTTACTGGAGCGTTATTGTCCCATCGAATTAAGGGCGCCTCCTTCATCCTTCACTCTTGCTCATTCAATCACTTTAATCTTATTGGCTTGCAAATCTCTTGAGGAAAAATGCTATTACTTCCCATATCTTCAACGGTTAGACGAGATTTCAGCTCTTTTTTCCGAACCAACTAACCGAACAAAGCTCTCTTTTGCGGGTGTCCTTGACGATGAAAAAGAAAAACTTATCAGACGATTTTGTTCCCTTGTAAGAAGCATTGCCAGGGCGAGAGAGGAGATATGGAATAATCCTTGACTAACATGATTAATTAATTAGAGGGCCGGCAATTAATTAAGACGGCCTTTGTGCTGTAAAGAATGGGGAGGGTCAATGAAAAATGACTGGGATTTGTCCGTGTCATCTTGGACGCGCTTTTCCCAATTCTATTGTCAAAGATCGCCTCGGGGATGCCACATCCTCTGCTTTAAAGCACAACACTCATTTCGTCACTGTGCTCTAATCACTGTGCTTCAGTGTTTAACCGCCCCAACGCAAATGCGCCTTCCCTGGTCTCTTCATGTCGAAGTCATCATAAGGTATTCATGGGTTAATAGTAAGGATGTACGAGGCGTGTGCTAGATCTACGTCAGAGGCAAGAAAGATCATGAATGCGGCAACCTTGGGAGCACAAAGACACTTCCCTCGAAAATCACGGAGTATCCTTGACTTCATATATGAACAGAGAAAAGTCTACAATCAGGAAAGACTACAGGTCATGATTTCCCGCCATTATATGATCCCCTTAGTCCGTAATCGTGGATGTACTTGAAGCGGTACTCGCGTGGGTTATTAGAGGCTATAACGGCCTCCTGTTTCTGCACCTGCCCCGCTCCCTCTTCTGTGATATCGGAGACCCATCTCTCCTCTCTTCACCGAATTCTTTCTTTCTTTTTAAGTAGGGGGCTGGAGAGAAAATTAGAGTCCACACAGTGCCTGGAATCGTCGTCCCTTACACCTGTCGTCTCGCAACTGTGAGAATGTGTTGACGTAGGGCAACGCAACTTGCATCATCGCTATGTCCTCCTCCCACTCATCATTCTATGTTTCTTCTCCTCCTCCTCCTTTTCCACCCGAAACATCCGTTCAATCGTGATAGCAAAATGAGCCGTGAGATAAATGCATACCATTCACCATCTGTACATTTTACCAGTAACACCCAAAATTGGATAGTTCGCCGTTTAACAGGCTAATTTGCGATTCATCTCACTTCATTGTCTATTCGGAATCCGGACTTTAACCATGGGTTAGACATGTCAGAGATCTTGCGAAATAGCTGGCTTATTAGCGAACCATCCAATTTTGGACATTATCGCAACATAAACTCTGACACCGATACGTGAAGGAAATACCTAACAGCACCATGCAATCCCTTTCAATGATGAACTGTAAGGCAATTCTCAAAGCCTGAAACCCTCTCTCCATCCAAACGTGTCACAAGAATTCGTGATGCAATGCCCCTAAAATGCTGTTCTACAACTGCTAAACCACACTGCACAGTGGAGGAGGGACTAGCTTATTATCTTACCTTTCGTATTTATCACTTTTCAGGAACGGAAGAACAAACTATGGTATAATGTTCTTTCATCATTTAACCCTCCTTATCTCAATGTGACTTAAAAGTAGCAGGTGTTACTTTGAAGTAACCCATATTATCATAAGGATATGCGTGTAAATTCTAGTCAATTGTGACCTCAGGGTAAGTGTGCCCATACTTGAAAAAATAATATACCCTCGTATATATATACTGTATATATATAAATGAGAAGTGTGCCTTTCGTTTATTTTCTAGGAATTAAAAAATATATTTTTTTTTTCCCTTCCAGAAATACATTTTGGCAATGTAGGGTTAATGCGCTTTCTCCAATGGCATTGATTAAGAATATCATATATGATGATACGGACAGAATTGACTGGTAGCCAAGTCATGCGTACATGTCTTCGGAGCTCCTCTAATAATTTCTGAAACTTCGAAGACGTGACTCGCTCCTGTTTATACGATAACGTTGATGATCCATTCCTACAAGATATATGGGGAAGGTACAGCACGATTTGTGTACTGACCTCGACGTCGTCATGCGGCGTGACAGGGAAATGAGCCTTTAGAATTTGAAAGTTCAGCAGGATACTCCTCTGAAGAAAGGTCCTGCTCAAAATTCGATGCAGCAAAGGCCGTCGAAATTTCCTAAGGAGCGAACGAATAAATAAAAGGTGGTGCAGTATAATGCGTGGTAAGTTAACTGATTGCTGCTTTCGAAAGCAATCAAGTTCCAAAGACTCACTCTGTTATCACTTCCCAATCCAATAGTCGTCAAAGAGTTTGGAAGCAGTGCTTGTTTAACGCTGAGATGGCCAAGTTGCAGTTTGACTGGGAAGGAAACTAGACCGCAAGGAAATTTGAAAAGAACCGCCTTTTCACTCCTTCAGCACACAGGCCAAAACTGCCTTTGAGAGACAAATTAGCTAATTACTTCTTCGCTCTTGAGGAAGTCAACAGTAGCCTGTACCTGACGGCAGAAACCACAAGCGGATGCCGAAGTCAATGTGTGCGCAAAATATTCCAAACTACGCCAAAGAATAAGCGATGCGAAGCCGTAGAGGTTTTCGGCGCTAAGAGAACGACTCAGTCGATCATCGAAGCGTACCTAGAAGTGATAGCGTCGAGTAAAAATAAATTACAAGCATATAGTGCAAATGATAAATAATGCTATCAGCCTTTGCTGATTTTACCTATGTGCGAGTGCTGGTGTATTTCAAGTTGGAGTGACGTCCCAGGATAACCGCGTTCAACCAATGCCGAATTATAGGCTAAAGAAATCGCAGGAATTGGACCAAGAAATAATGATGCTTCAGAAATGCTTTTTTTTTCCTCAATCGGAAGAGCAGTCTCTTGCTTGCGTTGCATTGTGAATGGGAGGAGCGAATAGGAAATCTTCGCATTACCCTTCCTGAGCATTCTGCTAATCAGCAAATTAATGCAAAAACAATTACTTAGACAATAATGTCCCTCCAAAAGTAAAATTGGGAGAGGGTAATCGTAACCTCGAGGTGCAACTAGAAGGGAGCAAGAAATGCTAAGAGAAATCGATAACGGTTTCTGCCATTAATCAAAGTTATAATTCCCTAATCATATGCAAATATTCGCCCCCAAAGTAATGGACGTTCAATGAAAAGAACATAGACTGCTCTCAGATGGTGCATATTTCATCCACCTCCATAAACCACTGGAATAACTGTGACAGGAGAAAAAATAGTCTGATTACTTTTGCTCGGGAGTATATATCATATGGCTATTGATTGCTCGTTCTTGATAATAGCAAGATCTTTGAATATTTGCGTAACATCAAGGCAACTTTAAAGAAGGCATCGATCGACAGAGTTGTTCAATTCTCATCTCGAGTAGAGAGAGAATGGTCAAATAAACCTATTACGTAACACGACAGGCAGAAGATGGCCTCAAACTAGTAAAGCTAGGAAGTATATAAGTTCGTGAATATGAGTTTATACGTAAGATACGCCTACCGACTATTTATAACATATGTACGTAAGTTTGCTCATTAGATTAGTTTGGTAGTTTCTACTTTGTCACCATAAATCCTGAAATTCACTTAGAGAAGAGTCGGTTACTTGGAGAGTATGGTTGTTAGCGTTCCTCCTCTCATGCGCTAACCCAGGCATGCAACCCGACACTGCTCTCAGCTGACGCAAGGTCGTAGATGTCGTCACAAAGATGAGCAAATTGCGAACTTCCGAATACAGCTGAGTGCGAAATATCGCCATGATGAGACGCGTATCCAGCATGCTACAAAAGTCGGTATACGTGATGCGCTACTCTCATATTAAGCTCTGAAACTGAAGAGATGGCAGAAGAACGGGTATTGGAACTGGCCTAACTCTTGTTCCTGGAATCAATAGTTCTCAATGGCTTGGTGAGAAGTAAGATGGTGCCGTGCTGTTCTCATCAGCTCCGACGCCATTAGTGCAATTTGACCAAAATTCTTGGTATGGTTAATATCACCTGACTTTCGGGTCAATTCGTTTTGTTTTGCAATTTTGTCAATTCGTCGGAAGCCCCTGATTTGAGAAAAATTCGTGCGCTCCCTGACAAACGATCACACTTTTTTCTCATGCGACGGTGATGAGGTGAGTTTGAACTGAATCGCAGTCATAAAGGCGTTGTTATCTATTAATAAGGGAATCGAGGTGTTATCCTCTCCCTTCATAGTGTTCAATATCTCTCAGCATTCCCTACCTTCGCGAGGCACTAGTGCTGAGGCATACTCCTGGGAACTATAATGACAGAGATTAAAAAATCAAGTTTTAATCATTTCATCGTCATGATTATGACCAACCATGAAAATGAATATTACGGATTAAAGAAAATTGAGAACTTTGAAATCGAGTAATTTGATGAGGGAAAAAGTCAGGGAAACAAGTGAGTAGTATTTTTGGTCCGAAATTCATTATATTCACGTCTAAATACTAACTGACTCGTGTTCGAGCACATGATTCTCTTCACTTCATGTTACAGAAATGCCTCATACGTAACATACGACATTTTAATGAATACGTTTATTGGTCCAGATTGTCATACCAATTGTCGTCATACCGATACCCGTAAGCACGATACCCTAATCCTGAGTGAGGTTTTAAAGACATTGCCATTAAATGTTTTCCGCGCTTTTATCTCTCGCATGCGCATGCAGGAAAAGGCCTGAGGGAAAAAAGAGACTACCGTAAAAGTTGCTTCTCAGGGAGGGCATAGCACGCATTTGAATGTCTTATGTCTTCGGAGGCGATTTTCGTGCCCTTAAGTCTTAGTTTCCTTGTTTTGGGGGCGCGATACTTGCTCTACTTTGCACCTAAGGGTACTTTGCTTTCTACATCTAGTTTCTTGTTTCTTTTTTCCTTCTTGAGGAATCAAATATTTTTTATCGTAAATTTCTTTAAGCGCTCTTATTGATTTGTTTCATCCTATACACTATATGCCGATCTTTTCTTGAACCAACAAACATAAGTGCCAAAATTATTGAAAATATGTATTTGGTTCATGTTTTTATGGCAAACCGCAATTCCACACTTCAAATAGTTAAGACACCACGGAATGAACAGCATTCCATTGGACGTCTCTGGTCGAAATCGGCCTTATTTGCTTCGGTCTAGGTAGTTTAGTGGGTTTTTCGGGTCCATATTTTCATAATTCTGTTGGAACACACTGTACTTCAGTACTTGATATCCCAAGAGACAAGCATGTCGACTTTGACAAGGCAGCAATTTTTCCATTCACTTCTCCTCCCTCCTTCTTAAGCGCATTTCCCATCGCGTTCTTTCCAATCCAGGTTGTTTAATCCGAAGACTTCTATTGGGAAAGAAGAGGTTTGCAAGACTCAAATAGCCTTAAGTGAAAGAAGTGCCGGCATCAGGAGGGAGTATACAATAGTGAGAATTTGGAACCAAAACTCACTTGTATGAATTGCTCGCCGTCAAGCATGCCGTGGAGATCAGGATAGGCGAGATGATCCCGTGTTCGGTGATATCCCATTTCCTCCTTACTCATGGATACTTGAAAAATAGAAAGATGAGTCAAATTATGATACGATCACTCTTTACACCCAAGTATGCAGTGAGTCATACAGAGTAGGACAATGCATACTAAGTGGCACGTCCTTCCGAATTCAGTGTTTTCCTACAAACGGTGAAAGGACTGGACATCGTGTGGCACTAGAAAAACTGACGGAAATGTTAGGCTCATATTTTTTTTTTATCACAGTGGAGACTATAATATTTGCTTCATGAAAATTTTGTGTCCGGTCGTCCTGATAAAAAGCGACAGCCATTCAGAATACAGTAATAAGTGACAAAAGCGATGAAATTACAGCTGAAATTATTAACAGTGAGAATGTTTTGCATGAATTCATGTGCTTTTTTAAATTAAGGGTACTCATACAACCGGTCAATTCCTCTTTTAGTGACAGAACTTGAATGAAGTAAATAAATAATATCCGCTTAGTTACAAAAGGTGCTGAATGCAACTGCCTTCCTCATTATTTGGGAGAATATTAGACGGAGATTGCAGCGAAACACTGTGGTCAGCGCTACACCTACAGGACATTAGTTTCTGTGCTTTTTGCACAGAAACTAATGGTGTAAACCATTCTTTTTGCGGTTTAATTTTTTTCATGTTATGATGGTTGATCAAGGGAGAATCATCTTGCAATGCTCACATGAAGTTTTGAAGGAGTCACATCAAGGAAATTGTTATAGTTATCAGCAATTTTCTAGTTCATTTTCACATGAAGAAGAGCATCTGAATTCATGCCAAACATTTCCACTATCAATATAATTTAATCAATTCCGCACGAATGTGACACTACGGGCACAGTCGAAGAATTCATCCTTCAATGTATACAGTATTATTCTCAAATGTGATCAGTCAAAAAGAGCTTTATGAAAGTTAGAAGGTGTTCGATTTTTTACCCACTCTGAAATTCTTTGGTTTCTGAAACTCTAGAATATTTGCATGTATACAATAGTCGAACTACATGTGAAGCACTGATAAAAGTTCTGGACAGATTTCCGTGATGCGCACATTACGTCATAAAAAAGTCATCGTGGGCGAAGAATATCCTACTGAACTTTTAATGAGAGGCCCTGCAGGGGATCTCCTTTATTTCAGTTTTTGTGCAGGAAAATCCAAAGCATTGATGAGAGTAGCAGAATGATCAGTTACAAAGTAGCATTTAATAATAGGAAATAAAAGGAAATGAAAGGAATTCAACGACTTAAAGAGAGGTATTTCAGAAAAACCTTATGAACCTTCATCGTGAGACATCGGTGTTGGCGAATTCAAGCTAGCATGCAAGTACTTCTCTAGAGATGGAAAGAAAATTGCTTTTATATTTCAACTCCGTGCATTGCATTAGAAGTGATTCGTTACTCCAAGTTATCTTTCTGCTCTGCGAGATCAGAATAATGCTGCCTTCCTGCGACCGAAGACGAATTTTCTATTTGCTCCCCGGTTGCCTTGCTTTATTCTCAAAAAAGAGGAAGGGAAGGTTCTTTCCGTGAATATCAATTTTACTTCCTGTTCAGCTTAATTGAGGCGGAGAATCATAAGAAGCACAACAAACTCAGAGCTGGCACGCGTACAAGGCTGACCTTGACTCCCCGATGTGCACGGTCCGTAGGCCTGATATACGAGAGAGAAAGGGAAATGTTCACGCGATTCATTCATGGAGCCCTGGAACCCCTGCTGAGGCGCCCCACTGTGCCCCCCCACAGTGCCTATTGCCACATTACTCGACAGGAGCAATTGAGCCCTTTATTGAAACCCCCTCCTGGGATCATTGACATGGCCAGACAGACTAGACCATCTTCATCCAGTCAGGTAGAACTGCCTCTTTCTCTCTTTATGTAGCCTCGCATGTATGGCTACGTGTACAGGAGGATGTAGCTGGCGATCGATGAGATGTTATCACGAGGAGTGTGCTCTAGCTGTCCAACGGCTTTCGTTGTCATGGTAACCCTTGCCAGAACCCTTCATTATGCCCCCTGTAGAACTCGACCTGGGGGAAAAAAGCTCCAGGTTTATGCATTCGACAGGATTCTCGGATATGCTGAAAATCACGGGACCTGTTTTCCTTCCATGAACAGGACGAAAAGGTAAAGATTCCTTGTTTCGTGTTCAAAGAGACTATGAATGATGAAACGTGCAAACGCGTTGATGATTGGGAGACATGCAATGCGTGCCTTGTTCCATTCATTATACACAAATCCTTTAAGGTCAATGTCCTCTCACGCCACAATCAAGTAAGCAAAAGATGGAAGCAACTCTAGCTTTCAGAAGAAAGCAACGCCCTTAAATCAGATTTTAAAGCACATTCTGAAACATTTTCATTCGAGGTGTCAGAATAGGCCTAAGAGGCCTTTTCATTAACAAATCAGTAGCTTGGCGTCTTTATTCCATATCTCAAGTAAATTTGAGGAAGAGAGACTAAATGAGGGAAGGAAAAGGAGAACCGAGAGCGAAGAGGAGAAGGCAAGAGAAGGAGAGAGCATTTGTGTGTTGAATCGATGAAGTGAGGAGCCATGATGGATTCTGACGTCACTGGCGGCGAAAATCAATCAAAAGACGCTCAAGGAGGCCTATGTCTTCATTGGCTCACACGTAATGAGCAAGTTTTCCCTCCACCACCCTCCTCCTATCCCGTCATGCCGAATGTTTCCCAGCTTTCCTCTCTTACAAGCCTCTGTGTGAGATCAGCTGGAATTCGGGAATATCTGAGACTGACTTGCAAAGGCATGACAATGGCATCAGACATTCTGATGTCTAGCGGTAAACTTTTTGTGCTCGCTGGTGTACACAATCATTCAAGGAACCAATGCAATGAAAACTGAAGAAAGATTCCGAGGATTCCGAAGACTCCAGGATTGAAGATTCCAGGCGTGTAGAATTTTAGTAGAATTGGGACGTCGTGATTTGCTCTTTATGTGCCCTTATGCGAGTGACCGCGAAAGACTGACAACATCTCCTTCATTATAGAACGAATATTGACCAGTTTTCCCTGATGGGAATGTTTTCAAATATTCAATTGAGCATGAAGGGAAAGTTCTCTCCATGCAGATGCACCAAACACGTGTTCAGAATCGCATTCCACATTGTTCCTTTTATTAGGCGTTGTCGAAACAGCGCGCGTTTCCCGACATTCGAATCATCCCTGATACTCGATTCAGAGCCGATGCTTCATTTTAATGTAATTCTCCACCATTAAGATTTAATGCATTGCTGCAATTCTCTCTCATATGATGAAATATTGCAAATGAATAAATTGTACCTATATCCATTCTTTCCAATAAACGAACTGCAAGATTAAAGGAAGACACGACGTTACAAAAACTTATTCCACTGATACGGGTGTATAGGAATTGATGGGGTGCCTGTACTACGAGATTCGCCTAGTACGATCGCAAAACTGCGATGCATGCGAAGCATGATTAATAAGCCAAAAAGAACAAACATGATGGCACCCATATCCCGCTCTCAGGGTAAACATGACTTTTACAGGCTGAATCATCATCGTTTGCCGATGATTGAGACAACCGGGAAACTTCTCATGGGACATGGGAACAATGCGAATCTTTCCTTGAAATGAAACTGCAGAGTGGGAACCTGCAGGTACTTATTTGTTCTACCTTTTCCTTTCTCATCCGTCGCATTGTGCAAGACTTAAATCACCATAATCACCCGGGTGAACCCCTCAAATCGCACAATTAACATTTAGCCCATGGATTTCTTTTGGAATCTGTTTTCCGAAGGTGAATGTATCCAAGATATGTATGATAATGTACCCAAGATAAGAATTTCCGTCCTATGCTAAGAGCCGTTGCTTTGAACTGCCTTGCTCGGAGAATTTTGACCAGTGTCGCCAACTTAGGAAGGACAAAACGAAGGGTGAATCTGCAGGAACTCACCTTGGGAATCATGAGTTTAACAGGAGTTTCGTAGGATTGTGTGAAATTATGACAGTGTCTCAGAGGCGGAGGGAATGTGAGATACATGTGAGATACATTTGGCGAATCAATTAGTTTGTGCGACAGTCATGGAAACAAAATGTGAGTACACGTGACATACGGTACAATCATGTGAAACACACGTGTTCATAGATAAAGAGCAGTCCAAATTTCACACGTTCCAAAGTTTTCGTTAGATTAAATTTCGTTAGATTTTAGAATTAAAAAATAATTTCCAATAGCCTAGCAGCGAAATGCATGCAAAAACATTCCTCTAGGACAAAGTTTCACTTCAGATGAACAGATTTTCCTCTTGAGTTGCCAAGCCTATATCAAACAAAATGAAAAACCCTGTGCGCACTTACTACAGTACATGCTTCAGCTTGTGCGTCTTAAGAGCGTAAAAGTCACAACATTTTCCTCAACCCACAAACGTGAGTATCTGCTTGGATCTGGAAAAAAAAATCCTATAACATATTTATTGTAAAATGAATTTTAAATTCGGAAACTTGTATTGATCTGGATGATAGAGTGGACGGTAGCCCCTCCCCTATCCTCCCCACCGACCTTCCCCCAGCACATTGTATCCAGGTGTTCTATTTTAATCTCCTCCTCCCTTCTCTTGTCATATATCCCATTAATTTGCTTGAATCACCTACGGTGGTACGCTGAATGAAGCCTCGCTACTGGACTGGGCTTCAAATAGCTTGTTACTAAAAAAATGTCTCTGAAGCTTTCGGCGGTGCTGGCTGGGGTTCCCTCCGCTTGAAATGGATTTCCTTACGGAAGAAGCTTTGTGATCCTCTCTGTCAACGTGACTTCCTTGAATGCCTCTCTTAAAAGATTTGGAGCCACTATATATAGTTCCGTGAATGATGAACTCATGAGAAGACATCGTCAGGATGAGACAACGAGCGGGCACGTTTTTGGTTAGATCAGAGGACACAAATTTCCCTTCCGATGGAGGGTCTAATTGGGATCCTGTAACAGGAAGACCAGCGTAGGGAAAGCTGAATCGATAGATGGCCATCTCGATATGACCGGGGAAATGCCCATTAAACTGACCATCTGATAACGCAGTTACTCATTAACGAGTTTTGTCAATATGCTCTGGATACGACGTACCTTGAAAATAACTCTTCGTCCGAAGATAGGCCACCGAAAGGCGAAGAATGGAAAGCTTATCCAACTTTGAGATGATATTGGGATCGAAGGGAAGAAGGCTTGCCAAAGTGTCCAGCTCCGCATTCAGTCTTTCCCGATGTCTCTTGCTTGGATTGCTTTTCCCGGCCGTGTCTTTCGGCTGAGGTTTCAACCTGTAATCGAATGAAGACAGCATAATCATAGCCACTGGGACTCGTCACGAAAGGCTCTGCCATGCATGATAACCGCGATGATTGCCACAAATTCTCATGTGTGGCATGCAATCGGTAGGCACATGTCACGTTCAACGTACGCATTCTACAGGCCTTATAATACAACAAGCCGGGTAGATGATTCATTCAAGTCCTGCGAAGCGACATAGAGGCTAAATAGAAACGGGAAACGAGAATCATAGGGTTGAAATAATGCGAGGTTTCCGGTAATTTCCCCGTCTCAGTTGCTCACCATCATCCGGGACAAGGTCTACCATATTGAGATTAACCTGGTATGGAATTATGCTGAATTTAATCATATTTCCGTCCTCACTCGTGGCAATTGACAAAAATACAAATTCAGCCATAAGGTTATGGGCAGGTCGACAGGGCATGCTGTAGAACAATCTGTGAACAAGCACACTTCAACATGTCACCGCATATCTTGGACTCGATAACGAGGGATCAACATTAACCGTGCTCTAGGCAAAGACATGCTGCTTTGAACATTCAATGCAAGGAACGATGCTGAGTTCCGCTTTATATCTTCTATGAAGAAAAGCATAATTCGAAGGTTGTGGTAGCAGTGTTTATATGCTGCAGAGCAGTTGTAGATACATCTAAACACTAAAGAGGATAGTTAGTAAAGTTATGTACATATACGGTGTGGAGGAAACAATGCTGGCAAATAATGTTTTTTGAACGGGTGCTTATTGAATCTGGAATTAGCCAAGATCATTCAAAACTGGTGTTTCCCGGATGCAAATAGAAAAGAAGAGTTTACTTTTCAACAGAAAGGTGCCCGAACTCTGAAACCTCAAGGTGGTCGCATGACCATGGGCAGCCTGTGAATCGGGTGTATTTCCCGTTACGGTGAATGCGGAGTCAATGGGTGCATCCGCTATGCAAGCCGCTGAAAGGATCGCACGCCATATGTGTACCCGCGATTCCAGCCAGCCAACCAACCAACCGCCGCAAGCCAAAGTAAGGCGTGACTGGAGGTAGGTGAAGGAGCACTTTCGTGAGAAAGAGACGTTGTCAACTCAGCCGACATGGATTGTGAGCTCATCCAATGACAAAAATGGTCTTCGCAACACGAAAATTTTCAGTTTCATAGGGAGCATCCTTATTTTCCTCTCGTCCATTCTCTCGCTTTTTGCGCGTGTGGAGGACTGCATTTTCAAAGGAGAACAGAGCTGATGTCTGTAAGATGAACATCGGATCGAGCCAAGTTATGGCCATAGTCTCCTTAACAATATAGTATAACTGTCTCCTAACATGTTATATCCCAAAAGAGAGCTAGAGCTCAGAGTCCAGAACTAGAATGTTTCCCGTACAAGTAGAATGCTTATTTTTTTGTGAGGGGAGAGGGGCTTAGAATGATAAGAAAAGCCACACTGGTATGCACGCTTTCTTTCAATGCGGTCAATGGGCATCGGTGGTCTCGTGAGTCCAACGAATGCGACGGGGGAGGGGGAGCTCTGAAGAGAATGGTGTTTTTGTATATGTACCCATTAGATGGATCAGTGTAGTTCCCATGTTATACGTATATCCGAAAATGGCCCAGCCCCTGTCCATCACCCGCCAATTATGGTCACACACCACTGAGTCCCGACTACTCCCCATACTTCCTCTGCATCTGCGTTCATCGGCCCTCGTTCGTATTTTGCTGTCCTGTATACAGAGAGTGGGTTCATGAAAATTACCCGCGACACCGATCGAAAAAGAGCCATCCTAGGATTCCAGTCATTCGAACGAGAAATAGAAAACCTTCATCGCCAATCGTTTACGATATCGTCCAAACGGATTGTTCTGGGGAACAGTCAGTAGGTAGGAGAACGGTAGTAGGGATATAAAGAAAGCCGGTGTGGACACTTTCTTTTTTTTTTCTGGGACTCGAAACAATAATAGCTGAAGCGATTCAAGCGTCATATTCCTGCTGCATAACAGAAAGCCTAAATGAAACGCGTATCTGCATGAATTGCATCCATATTATATAATTGCTCCTTGCGGCAAGCCATGGGTACAATGAGGGTCCATAGAATAGACTACCGACCGAAGCGGGAATTCTCAGAATCAGTCACCTTCAAACAGTAAAGGGGAATTTTTCTATTTACTAAACCTATAGATTATTGTAGTAACCTCGCGATGTCGAACATGTGCATTTCAAACATTTGAATGGGGCAAGAATGGGCGCGTTCAGTTGACGAGAATCCTGAAACTGACATACAACAGATGCTCGTTTTCCGGTTCGCTATTATGAAATAGCTTATTTTCATGCCAATTTCCCTATCATTTCACGTCGTTAAAAATGGTTGCTCTCGAAAACACGTGAGTCTCGTTAGAGGGCATCGCGGACCTCGAGCTATCGATGAGACTCCGCGGCGGATTTGGGTGGAGGCCGTAGTCTCATTTCAAAGTCGAAATTAGACTTACGGTCAGCACCCTCCTCGACTCTTCCATCACTTGGCACCTCCCACAGTAGGGGAGGTACGTTGGAAGAGGACGTCTTCCTCCCCCTCTTGCATACAGTAATACAAGACCTCGTCTGTGGGTCACAATTTAGGCGTCCACATGCAAGCACTTAAAAAATATTGCCGAAGATCGAAGGCGGGAGAACTTCTCTATTCTCGACTGTATCAATGTGTCCCCGTGTGTGGAAACCTAATAGGCAACATGTTTTTCACGTACCCGAGACAGAAGCTACACGAGAAACATGGCTCATGAAGTCTGACTCTCTTCAATGCCATCCCATACTGGCATGTACTAGTGGCTTCACTCTTAAGCAACTTCATTTTATGTTACCATACAAATTCAGCTTGAAGACAGCTTAAATTTCATGGAGAATTTCAGGCAGTATATGCTTAAGATTTTCAAGCATCTATCAATTTCCTACAATCTTCTGGTAAATACGCAGTCAATTTTTTGAGCTGTCCATTAATAACCCAATGGATTACATTTTACTTTTTACTTTAAAATTTTGAAGAGTGTAGGCGTGTTTAATTAAGGGATAGGCATGGAAGTCAAGACGATGGTGTCCAGATCTCGGCAAGCTATGTTGTCTGCCTGTGGCCATGCCCCCCCACCTCATTCTCGCTTGGGGGAAATGTACAAAAATTAAACCAAAAAAACACGTTCCGAATACTTATTTTTGCTTTTAACCTGGCATACTCGACGTTTTGGGCCACATATCACACGTCTGCTTGTGTCAAATCGGAATCCTTATGGCGGAGATCTGTTCTGCCTGTGAAGCAGTCTGGGACTTGGTATATATCAACGGTAACAATGCGTGCAAAAACCATGTGTGGCACTGCATTTTGACAGGATATCAGTTTGAACATCTCATTTAGACATGTTATTGCATACTTCATCAAGACAAGTCTATACTTGTGCCGTTCTTTATTTTACCTTAGTCCCTCCTACGACTTATGTCCATCTCTGTACGGTGTAAAGAGATAAGGCTGGACAGAATTGAGTTTTAGAAAGCGTATACAGATAAGCCTGCTTATGAAAAAGTGAACAGGAAAAGAGCTGAATGAATCGGCTAATATCCATACCCATGAAAGCCCATTTTGGCCAATGCAACGGTACCGTTCCGGACTAACTCTCCAGATGCAGACGTTTTCAAATCAATTGTTTAGCAGTAGTATACACCCAGTCACCAAGTTAAGTTTTAATCCTTGGAGTAAACCTCTCGTCCCATTTCGATAATACTGTAGAATCATCCATGCGCATTTATACTTCATTATTGCCTTTCGTGCTTACGACCGCAGATTCGCTTCAGAAGGCGACATTTTCTTTCTTACTTTCCACTTTCTAAAGGGTGCGTTAATAGGGTGACATTTTCAACTGTTTGCCTTCTAAGCTTTTACGGTTTAAGTTCACTTCCGTGGTGAAAGTTGCCTTTCATTCATCACCTTCGAATGGCATTTTAATTATTGTCAGGTTTATCGTCATGGCAACCGGATTCGGACTGCGTCATAAAATTCAGTCTGAGGAACTGCTCATCTTATTTTTGGTCGAAATTATACAGTTTATTCATATGTAGCGGTCTTACGCCAACCTTTAGAAAGCGCCAGAAGGTTAGTTCTACGTAAATGATCCATCATCTCAGAGGCCCGCTGTTGCTCCTGTTCATTTCCTAGGCATAATTAGAAGACACGGCTACAGAAAATGGGAACATTGCGTGGACCCATACAAGCCTCGTAGCAGAAAAGCGAGTTCTCTTCCCCATCTCATCTTCCTTGAGAAGATAATAAATCGATGGTGCCCGCCTCCTGGAAATTGCCTCCTTCATAGACACCAATTTGTATCTTTCCAGCCCTTCATTTCCCGAGCTGGAATGGGTCAGAATGCATCTTCCAGGACTCATTCGATTCGTAGGATAGAACATGTGGAACGAGGAATGGATCCTTCGCGTGTTTCACTCCTTAACAGCCGTACGCTTTGTCTTTCATTCATCTCTTTGAATTCTCTAGCTCTAGTCAGAGGAAGTATTGGAAAGAATCATTTCATTATGTAGGAAAATTACCGAGAAATGGCCAAACCGAGGTAAATGCCTCCATGAATGGCAGCCGAAAGAAAGATGGAAAGCGGTTCCCAGAACCCTTGAAGGTGAACTCGAACTCATCGAGCGTCAGCCTCGGGAGAAAGATTCGGATAAAGGCTCAAGGAGTTGCGGTCAAAAAAGAAAGTAATTCAGAACTGAACCTCGGTGTCCATTCGGAAACCAAGCCAGATAGACGAGGAAGAAGCACGAGGTAAAAATCACTTCTCGAAAGAATGATCAACTCTGGCCCATAGAAGACACATTTTCTGCTAGAGATGCATAAAAACCGGAACATTTCCGAGCTTACCTAGCAGATATATTCCATGTAGACCTACATATTGTTGTTTTAAATTTTCTCGACAAAACGTCTGTATAGCTTTTAGCTGTTCGAGGACAGCTGAAGTTTCAAGCATGCAGCCGACCTGAACTTTCAGATAGAACGAAACATCTTGTCTGCTCTAAGAAAGGGAAGCATACTGAGGAACACTTGACTGAATGGACCAAGTCCAGAATGTCTACATTATTTAGAAGTATAGATTTTGCATCATTCAAACTTATAGGCATCGTAATATATCTCTTTCTAGGTCTGCAGGTAAATGCTGCTTTTTTGAGAGAGGGGGAGAGAGAGAAAGGAATCCCATATTTCTGGATATTATAAATGCATCCGGATTTATACGAAATTTGAACGCGCTTAGGGAGGAAATTCCACCGTGGCTATCCAAAACACAGATCAAGAGATTATGTCCTGGAATCTTGTTCGTCCATCGCTTACCATGTTTTCATTGGATTCGAAGTTTTTTTTTGGGAAGCCAAATTGTCATGGGGGGCCGAGGTGGGGGAAGGCTATCGAGGGCGACTAGAGGTTATTATAAATACAGCGGTAAGTCTCAGAATGGTAAAGAGCATAGTAGATCTTATTCCCTTTGAGACCCTTTTCCTTCTTTTGTCGAGATGACCCTCACAGACCAGACATCGTATACCCCCTTAATGCATTCAATGTTTTACAAAATACGTTTATTTAATATAATTATTTGCATCCGACGTCGACTAATGCCTGAAAGTCTTCACGTCGCTCCTAGCAAACAGCAGCAAGTGAACATCCAGTGAGGACGAGCTACTATGCAGGATCCCGTATATGCTCTCAACGGTTCGAGTGAACCATTTTTTTTCATAAGAGTTGCGTTTCCTGACACAATCTAATTCAGACTTAATTTAATTTATACAGGCACTTCCTTGTGGTATGTCATGCATGCAATTCCAGCCGCAATTAACCGAAGGGAAAGTGATTGTCTGCATTTGCAGATTGCAGTGGTCATGCACCCTCATTTATAAAGCGCGCTCATTGCATATGGATCTCACAGAGAGAATGGTTTTTTAGCTTAAAGTGCTCCACGGGAACGGAAATCTTGAAATGGTGGAAGGGAAAACATTTCGCATCTCCAAAAGAAACATCCCCAGTCCTTCACAAGCCAGGAATATTTCAATGCAGGAGTGGGGATGTTTCACGTTCGGAAGAAAATTGTGATTACCATTCTCGTGTCCTTTATGCAATCCAGTTGTTTTCCGAGCCTTTCATTTCAAACTGTTATACCAATCACAATGTTGTGCCAGGCGCGAAATCTGCGGTCCAGAGGGAAACCGAAAATCTGGAACTTCTTGCAAAGAGCTCGTGTGCAGGAATGCAGCGAACGGGTGGTCTTCCCGAGGGAATTTCGCATGTCTAAGAGAAAAGAACTCCCGGATCTCTCACGTCCAAACTGACGTAAGTTTACTACGTCTGTGCACAGCTTCTTGCACGTACTCTCCAGAAGAAACACGCTTTTGCTCAAATGTGAGCAAAGACAGAATGAGATACGAGATAGGAATCAACGGCAACCGGGACTGAAATTCTCCACTCTGAGGAAAGTGTCAGGTGAAATGACCAGGGGACCGTGGGTCATACATGTCAGAAATATAAGGCCAGAAAAACTTAGTTGTGGACATTCTCTGCATCATGGACCACACATGGTCGAGGGGAAGCCATATAAGATTGTACAGGGAAGGAAGAATAAGGTCATTCGCTTGTTCAAGGTATGGTTAGCCCTTCGGGGACAGCGAAAG